TGGCTTGGGACTGGGTGTGTGTTGTGCCTTCAGGGAGGAATCACAGACCAAAAACTCTGTGAGCTGCTGAGTAAAGCAGGAGAGGAGCTGGGACAGAAACTAGTTGGAAGGGACAGCTGGTTATGAGTGTGGAAACCAGAAAATAGTGGGGGAAAAAGCACCTGAGAGGCAGGAAAATGGGAGGGGAAGGGCGTAAAGGGAAGGAGCAGAGCAGCTGGAATGAGGAGCTGAAGGACATGAAATTAAATCCTTCAGTAAAACAGAGGACACTTCTCACCATGGACACAGCTGGAGGGTCACAATACAAATCTTTTCCTTGTCTTGCACATAAGAACTCTCTGTGCTTGGCCTGAGGATTTTGTGTAATCCCAGACAAAGAAAAACACCAGTTCTAGAACAGGTTTTCTTTGGACTCTTCCTGTCCAAATGTCTGACTGGATAAAACATTGCAAACAGCTAATTAAGAACTTATCACCTAATTGCTCCTGCCTATTGAGCAGTTGTGTCACCTAAACCTGGGCTAAAAACTCAGGTGGCAGTCCTGAAAATGGGGAAAAACCCTGTCCATTGAGCAGACTTAAACCCCTGGAATATCCCAAATGCAGCTGTGGGGTTTTGGCCTGGCTCTGTTTCAGGTGGAGGTTGATGAGATGAATCCTCACAGTCTCCAGCCATGAGTTCACCATCCCATGCAATTTGGAGGTGGATAATTCATGGACAGTTCCCCTGGCAGTGGTTCCCAAGGTGAGGAACCACCTTGAGCTCAGCCTGAGGGAAGGTGGCAAAGCCCCACTGGTGAGTTCAGCTCAGATCCAGCTCTGGTGCTAAACTCCTGCAAGGCCAGACCAGGAATGACTCCAATTCCACTTTGTGCCAGCAGGATGCTCTTGATGGTGGGGAGAAACAGGTAAAGATACCTTTAGGTACCTGTGAGTGAGAATTTTGTGCTGCTGGCAGGCTCTGGTGAGCTTTGCCAGGATCAGATTTGGAAAGGGGTCTCATTCCAAGGTGCTCCTGATCCAGTTACCCTGATGGGATAGATATTTTGGGCAGATAACTCCAGAGAAGATTGTAAAAACTAACAGTGCCAAGGAGCATTTCTGTATCAAACCCAGTTTTCCAGGCACTTTTCACAGGATCAGCATCCTGGGATACACAGGAGAGAACTGAGCTCTAAACCCTCAGCACCCTCTGAGGGTGAATCCTCTGGATTCTCATCCTTGCAGGAGAGAAACAGAAACAGGGGGTGTTTTCCTGCAGAGAGTTGAAAGCAGAGGGGTAAAAGTGGAGTTGCATCATTTTACCACACCCTGAAGAGCAGCACCACGTTTGCAACACACCTGGTGGGACTGCAGCCTCCCCTCGCTGGGCTCAGTGGCTCCGTGGCTGTTCCAGGAGCCCTGGGAATGAGCAGGGGAGGCTCAGCAGAGCATTAATTACAGCCTATCACTATTTATCTCATTTACATGCACTGAAAGGCTGCGTTTACCACAGTGCCCCATTGTGCCAGGGGCTGTGAGCACCCAGCCAAAGGCAGGAGCTCTGACTCCTGGAGTTTGTCCTCTTGGAGTTTGCCCTCCTGGAGTTTGTCCTCCCGGAGTTTATCCTCCAAACTGAGATGAGCAGGGTGGTGGTGGGGAACTGAATGCAATCCCACCTGCTATTCCAACATGTATTTATGGATCTGTAGCTGCCTTGGCTACAATTTTCAGGCCAGGAAATTTTCAGGTCAGGAAGACTGAAGCCCAGGAGATGACAGTAATCCCACCTGCTATTCCAACATGTATTTATGGATCTGTAGCTGCCTTGGCACAGGCAATTTTCAGGTCAGGAAGATTGAAGCCCAGGAGATGACAGAGTTGGTTATTCCTGTGCTTGGCTCTCTCTTTTTTTGGAGATATATTAGAATTTCTTCACTGGAAGCAGGGCACACATTGAGCCTGTGGCCTGGGAGATGTGCTGGGCTTATGCTACAGAATATCCCCAGACTTCTAAAACTCCTCAGCCAGGCAGCAATGGGAATTCTTTAAAATGTCACCTTCTTTAAGACATGAGAGATCCCAACATTGGTTTTGAAGGCAGCCTGAAGAATAATTTTTAAACTTGAAATCATGGAATCATAGAATTATCAAATTATGGAAACACAGAATCATAAAATCATGGAAACAGAACCCCAGAATGGTTTGGGTTGGAAGGGACCTTAAATATCTTGTTTCAACCTGCCATGGGCAGGGATGTAATTCTGATTAAATTTGCTTTTTCCTTCATTTTTTAACAGAACGTTAATCTGATAACTGGCAAATCCATTTTAAAAAGAACTGTAGTGAACTGTAGTGAACAGGTTGAGGTGGTTTTAAAAGAACTGTAAACTCAAATTTAAACTGTGAAAGAACTGTAAACTCAAATAGGGAAGGGAAGGGAAGGAAGGGAAGGGAGGGAAGGGAAGGGAAGGGAAGGGAAGGGAAGACCATTGACTTGGAGAAAGAGCCCTTTTGCACACTTCTCTAGTTATTAAATACTATTGCATCTTCATATCCATTTAAAACAGAGCCTCATACAGTGACAGCAATTTCCCAGTCAATACCAGACCCTTTCCTCGCCCATATCCCTGTCCCTGGAGCGGATGCTGAGTGGGACACGCTGTCCCACCTTCCCACGAGCTGCCGGGGGCTGGGTGCATCCCGGGTGAGAGCGAGACGGGAGCCGCGGCTGGCCGGGAATGCGGCCCGGGAACACTGACCCGGGCCGGGAATACTGATCCGGGCCGGGAATGCTGATCCGGCCCGGGAACATTGACCCGGGCCGGGAGGGCTGATCCGGGCCGGGAATGCTGATCCGAGCCAGTAATGCTGATCCGGGCCGGGAATGCCGATCCGGGCCGGGAATGCCTATCCGGGCCGGGGAATACTGATCCGGGCCGGGAATGCTGATCCGGGCCGGGAATACTGACCCGGGCCGGGAATGCTGACCCGGGCCGGGAATGCTGACCCGGGTCGGGAATGCCGATCCGGGCCGGGAGGGCTGATCCGGGCCGGGAATGCCGACCCGGGCCGGGAATGCCGCTCCCCCAGGATGGTGATGCCGTGTTTCCATGCCGCGGGCGCTGACCCCGTTCGTGCCGCCGGGGCGGGCAGCGCTGGCAGGGCGCGGGGTGCCAGATGGCGAGGGGACGTGTGTTGTGTGTCGCCTGTCACTCGGGGCAGATTAATGGGAGGTTTGTAAAAAGGAGCGGGTGGGACAATTAAGCGGGGTCCCCAAAGACAAAGGGGCCACGTGCCGCGGGCGGCGGGCGTTGGGCGCACAAAGGACCCGCGCCCCCCCCCCCCATGAACCAACTGTTGCAAACGACCCCCAGCCTGCCCGGTTTTCAAATCATTTCATGCCCCTGTTTTCTTCCAATCCAGCCAATCTCAGCGCCGGGAGAGCCGTCACCTGATGGTTTTGGAGTTTGTGGTTTTTTTTGGTTTTTTTTGTTTTTTTTTTTTTTTTTTTTAATGGATGGAAGTCCCCAAGCCTCGCGAAATAACGGCGTAACCATGGCAATGCTAATTATTGCCCTATAACTACAGTAGGAGAGAGAACACTGCGAGGGAGATTTGAAGAGCGGTTTTTTGTGGTTTTTTTTGCCCTTTACAAAATCTTTTTGCAAACAAGTGGCGTTTTGCCTTAAAGATCTCCCCGATAGTTGTTCAGGGAGCTTTGACAGGTGTTTCTGGAATTCCTGAATAGAGGAGCTGAAAGCTCCAGGGCAGGCAGGCACTGGAGTTCTGCCTTGCTCTTTTAAGCTGATTTAGAGTCGTGTAAAACATAAAAGATGCTTCAGCAAGAGACCAGATTTATTTAAGGTTTCTGCAGCATCACTTGGCAGCAAACACACATCAGCAGTCGACACCACTTTAACACATCTCCGAGAGCTCTTGAAAGCAAAAGGGTTTGAAAGCAAAATCAACTGCATCCAACTAAATTATGTTCTTCTGAGAGATAAAGATGTTTTCCTGGATCTGAATCCCTTTAGGTTTGCCCTGGGTGTCGAGTGACAACTTCCTGACATGTCCTAATTACTGCTTTACTCCTCAAGGTACCAGTGACTCCTGTAATACTGTTCCACACAAATTAATTAATTTAGCCTTTCATTTGCAAGAGTTCTTTTATCGACTTTAACAGGGAGTTTGGACCACACAGGAATTTTTGAGTACTGAAAATACATTCCAATATTCCCGTTTTGTACCACATGCTCTGTCAGAAGCAAAGCAAAACAGGTGATCTGGAGCACGTAAAAGGTGTCAAAAGCAGAGCTTTAAACCAAAAGCAGCCTGTCACAGCTGTGCCTGATGTTGTTGCTGGTGCCTGGCAGATATGGTGCCTCCAGTCGCAAACCTTTCATTCTGATCCTTTACTCAGTCAAAAACTGCCTAAAAATTGGTTTTTAAAGTATCAATAACTTCATGTATCTGAATGGAAGATATCAGCAGTTCAGTCTGTGAAGTTCTTTTTATGCAGCTGCTGATCTGTCACCACTGACAGGATCCAGGGGCTGGGAAAAGTTTTCCCAGGTGTTCCAGCAGCAGCAGCACACACACATTCCCCAGGAGCTGAGCACAGAGCTCCTTCCAAGGCTCTGGATTGCAGGGTTAATACCAGGTTCTAAGTCCTGGTTCCTCCCCCATCAAAGCCAAACAAGTGCAAATTTCTGACAGATGTGACAATAATGAATCAGTTTGGGTTTGTTTCCAGGCAGTTTCTCTGCTGGTTTCCTGCCCCTTCTTCTCCTACATTTAAGAAAACCACAAGAGGTTTTCTTAACCAAAATGTTTCAGACTGGACAAAGGAACACAAAACCAGGTAAAGGGTGTCAGTACCAGCTGTGAAACCACAGGGCACATCTGGATTTGGATACAGAATTCCAGCCTGGTGGTTCTTTCCCCTGAGCTGCAGGAGCTCTGGCAGCCCATCCATCTCTTTCCAGGGACAATGCAGCAATTCCTGTTCCCTGTTAACTTTCCCTGCTGCTTTGCAGACTCCTGGCCTCAGACCCATCCCAGCTGAGTGAGGATGAGCTCCCAGGGGATTTGCAGTCCCTGTCCTGGCTGACATCCGTGGATGTGCCTCGGCTCCAACAGATGGCCAGTGGGAGAATGGATTTCAGCCTGGGGGCCCAGAATGCCATGCTCCAGCAGACAGGTACTGTGGGATGGGAAATGGGAATAGGGAATAACTGCTCCCTAAACAGCACAGCCTGCCCCTGCCACTCCCCCTCAGGCTCCCTTTGCCTATCCTTTTACATTTTGCTTCCTGTCCAAAGACCTGGAGCCTGTTGGCTTCTCATGAGGGCTCTGCTGGTGTCTTCCCCCCCATTCCAAGAGGGAGAGAGCTTCAGCACTGGAAACACTCAGATCCCATGGGAATTTCTCCTCAGTCTGCTCAGTTCTGCAGCTGCTGGTGACTTGTTGGGCTGAGGTATTTTAAGTCCTGGGTCTCGGAGGTTTTCAACAGCTCTGAAATGAGATCATTAATCTTTCTGCTTTGTTTCAACACTGATAAAACAAAGGGCACCTCATTTACCTCACACCTCTTTGCTTCTTGCAGCCTTGCAGCGTGTGTTGGTTGAACTCCTTTCTTTCCCTTGTGAACATCCTTTAGGTAAACACACATCACAGAGCTCAGAGTGCCACCCTGCCTGCCTGAGAGCCCAAATCCAGCTAATGCTGAATGTGCTGTTTCTCTTTTGTAAGACACAGTGTCTGTGTCACCACCGTGGGCTGTTAAACAGCTGCTGCCTCTCATTCCCTGCCTAACGAGTTTTGGGAGCAGCTGATGTCATCTGGGCAAGCTGTGAAAAGCCAGAGAGGTTGGATTCTCCACTCCAGAGCTTCCCTGTGCTCAACTGCATCTATTAACCCCCTTCCCTGAGCTGTGCTTCCATGGGAGCATCCCTTGCCTTCCTCTCTCCGCGCCAGGTGCTGTGGGGAACGCGATGCACTCGACGCCCGGAGCGATGATCCACGTCCAGGCCAGCCTCCCACAGGGAATCCTGGGCCTCAACTCCATTTCAGCACATGGAGCCAATGTAAGAGCAGGCCTTGGTGGCTCGTTATTGCCCCAGCTCCTGGGACAAGGTGGTGGGAATTCCTTGACTGTTGTGTTTCTCTCAGCAGATGAGCCCCTATGCCGTGGGTGGGCAGCTGTCCCCTGGTTTGCAAACACAGCAACAGCTCTTCCCTCCTCCTCATCCTCCTCATCCTCCTCCTCCTCACTCCCAGCAGGTGTTTGCCCTGGCCCAGAACCCCCAGCAGGTACTGGTATGTGCTTGTTGTCTGTCTTGAAGTACCTGCCAAGATCAAATCTAGATATCTTTTAAAAGAAAACCAAAATATCCCGAAACTCACACACCCACTGGACATTTTGCCATCTGTCATTTCCCTTCTTTTCCCTCTGCACGCAGTGTAACCCAGCAGCAATGTACAACACATCCTATGGGGCACAGCCACACTATTCCCAGCCACGCCTGGCTCCCCACTCTGCCCAGGAACTGCACCCAAAGCATTATCCCAAGCCCATCTATTCCTACAGGTGAGTGGGGAGCAGGAAGCACATTGCCTACAGCCTGTCCTGTCAGGCTGTGACACTGCAAGGGTGTCTGAGTCCTTTGGAAGGGAACAAAAATCCCCTCATCCATGCAGGAGTTCTGTGGAAGCTGCCTCTGAGGGGTAGCAGGAGTGAAAAAGGAAAGTAATTCCTGGAGAGCAGCACAGTGGGGAGAAACAACACAGAGGAGTAAAATCTGAGGATCACAGGGAAGTGGTCACAGCACCAGGCCTGGCAGAGCCCAAGAAGAAGGGTTTGGACAATCCTTTTGGGAATGTGGTGTGACTCTTGGGGATGGTGCTGTGCAGGGCCAGGAGCTGGACTCAGTGATCTTTGTGGGTCCCTTCTAAACCAGCTTATCCTGTGATTCTGAGACTTCTGAGCCCTTGGGAACAGAAACCCCAGGATCCCAGCTGTCTGTGTCTGAAGAGGTTGCTAGACCAGAAGAAGGTATGGAATGACAGGACAAGAGGAGTGATTCCCACTGCCAGAGGCAGGGTTAGATGGGATATTGGGAAGGAATTTCTCCCTGTGAGGGTGGTGAGGCCCTGGCATTTGCTGCCCAGAGAAGCTGTGGAAGTGCCCAAGGCCAGGTTGGACATGGCTTGGAGCAACCTGGGCTAGTGGAAGGTGGCAGGGGGTGGAACTGGATGAGCTTTAAGGTCCCTTCCCACCCAAGCCGTTCCATGATTCCAAGCCATTCCCGGGTTTCCTGCCCGCAGCTGTTTGATCGCCATGGCGCTGAAGAACAGCAAGACCGGGAGCCTGCCCGTGAGCGAGATCTACAGCTTCATGAAGGAGCACTTCCCCTACTTCAAGGTACCTGAGCATTCCCCAGCTTGGAAGCGCCACATCCCAGCGCCCTTTTCCCCCCGTTAACCCCTTCCTGCCCCCGGCAGACTGCCCCCGATGGGTGGAAGAATTCCGTGCGCCACAACCTGTCCCTGAACAAGTGCTTTGAGAAGGTGGAGAACAAACTGAGCGGGACCTCCCGCAAGGGCTGCCTGTGGGCCCTCAACCCCGCCAAGATCGACAAGATGGAGGAGGAGATGCAGAAGTGGAAGAGGAAGGATTTGGCTGCTATTCACAGGAGCATGGCTAACCCAGGTAGGGCTGGTGGCCCACATCCCCATCCTGCACATCCATGGCATTCCCTGCTGCCTCTGGGGTTACTGTTTGGGGGAATATTTTGATATCGAGTCATATTTAATGCACTTTTCATAGAGAAGCATTTTAATGCTGTTTCTTGCCTGTTCTTCTGTAAAACTCTCCCTTTCCTAAGACATTTTCTTATTTATAAAATAGAATTTAGTGTTATTTATACTATAATTGGTATAACTATAATTGATATTTAATGTTATTTATACTATAATTGATAGTATATTTATACTAAAATAGATAGAACATTATAAATATTATGTAGTTATATCTACTATCTATATAATAGAATATATATCTATATAGATATATATGTACTATTATATCTATATATAGCTATATAGATATATATTATATCTATATCTATCTATATAATATAGATAGATATATCTAATATTATCTATAATATATTTATTCTTTATATCTTATTTATTTATAATTTCCCCCCTTATTTATAAAATTTCTTATTTATAAAGAAACACATTTTTGAAACTTTCAGGAGCTCGGTATTGACAAAATCAACTGGAATTTTTTTGCTACAAAATCAGTAACATGCAGTCAGAGACACATTATTTGTTTAAAAGCAAAAGGGCCACTACAACAGTCAGGAGTTTTTTGTAGTGATTTGGGAGATAAGCAGAATTCTGAGTGTTTCTCTGACCACAGAGTTCTGCAGCTGGGGGTGAGCTGCCATCAGGGGTGGCTGGGCTGCTCTGCAGTTTCATGATAACTTCTTTAGCTCAGTCAGGGATAACCATGGAAGTGGGTTTGGGGAAGGAATTAGGTGGCATTTCTTTGCTCCCTGCATAGTCACAGCCTGTGCTGGGTCACACTCTGTGACAATCAATTCATGCCATAAATGCAGTTGTGCTTTGGCCAGTCCCTGCTTGAACAAACGGGTTAAAGCATCTCTTTTCCTCCTTGGGGTGGGCAGAGGAGCTGGACAAGCTGATCACTGACAGACCCGAGAGCTGCAGGCGGCCCAACAAGCAGGCAGAGCCCGAGGGGCCCCCCCTGGGCCGCATCTCCGTGTCCCAGCTGCAGCCCCAGCCCATCATGACGCTGTCCCTGCAGTCCCTCCCGCTGCACCACCAGCTCCAGACCCAGGCTCGCCTCGCCCCCAACTCGCCAGCCCCCGCACAAACTCCTCCTCTGCACACCCTGCCTGACATGAGCCACAGCCCCCTGCCCCACCATCCCATGGGACGTGCCCCAGACTTCCCAAATGTGGCGGTGGACATGAGCACGGAGGTGGATGCTCTGGATCCAAGCATTATGGATTTCGCACTGCAAGGTACGGGGGAAGGCACTGGGGGAGGGCTCAGCTGGGGTTTGTGGATGTGTTAACACTGAATATCCAACCAGGATCCTCAGTGGGATGTTCTGGGTGTTGGCATCTGCAGGGTGACTTCCCAGGTTAATGTCCCTGTGCCAGGTGGGACAGCAAAGCACCTTCCTGGCTCCAGTGCAGGCACTGCAGGGGGTGGAAGCAGGGGTGTCCAACCAGCTGGATCTGGGACATCACATCTCTCTGCCCCTGGGAAAAAAGAGCTCTGCTCGTGCTTTGGGGTTCTCCTTCTGTGCAAGTAGAACTTCTCTGGTTTGTAGCAATGCCTGACATGGTCCTGGGTAGAGCACAGGTAGAGAGGTGCTGTCTGGAAGCAGAGGATTTGGGAGATTTTGGGAGATAAGACACACTTGCTTCCCAGAAAGACCTGGAATCACAGGATTTGAGGGATCAGACTTGCTGCCCAGAAAGTCAGGAATCACACAATTTGGGGGATCAGACTTGCTGCCCAGAAAGTCTGGAATCACACGATTTGGGGGATCAGACTTGCTGCCCAGAAAGTCTGGAATCACACGATTTGGGGGATCAGACTTGCTGCCCAGAAAGTCTGGAATCACACGATTTGGGGGATCAGACTTGCTGCCCCTTGCACCGTGGTGCCACCCTCAAGCAGCGAATGAAGCCCTTTACTCCCAGCCCCGGGGACCTGGGGATGGATGTGCTGCTGTGAGCAGGATTCCATCTTTTCCAGGGAACATTTGGGAGGAGATGAAGGACGACAGCTTCAGCCTGGACACCCTGGGTGCCTTCAGCAACTCCCCCCTGCATCTCTCCGACTGCGAGCTGGGCACGCCCGGCCTCACGCCCGTGTCCAGCGGCAGCGACCGCTCCTTCTCCGACCTGCAGGTCACTGGCCTCTACACCACCTACACCACCCTGGACAATGTGGCAGCTGCTCAGTACATGAACCCCCAAGGGAACAAACCCATCCCTCTGCTCTGAGCTTGGCACCGTTCCACGGATCCCGAGGGACGGTTCTTCCCCGTGGTTAAAATCCGACCGGGAAGCTCCAAGGGCTCGTCCTGCTTTGGGATGTGTTGGCTGCTTCCAGCATGTGAGGCCAAAATAAATCAAGCTGGGACTTGTAAAACCACTTTCCCCCACGGCAAGGGCATGGACACTTGTGTTGTGGGACTGGGGAGCTCTCCAGAAGGACCTGGAAGGCAGCAGGAACTTTCACTGGAATGTAACTGAACTAAAAATCACCCAGTTAAGGGAATTAAATTTATTCCACGCTGTGGTGGAGCTGCTGTGTCATCACTGTCACAGAAGCCACCACAAGCCAAGGGGCTGGCCAGCCCCAAGATGGTTGATTGTGCCCCTGGTGTGTCATTTTTAATTATTTTGCCAAATTGGACAAAGACCTTCCCCAGGTCCTGGAGATATTTGCACCACTAACACTTTTCTGATGTAACTGTTGTTAATTTATTGTTAGGAGGTAGAAAAAAAGGAGCAAAACCACTAAAAAAGGAAAAGTCACCTCCCTAGCAGACCACTGTTATATCTAGATTTGTAAAAGTCCAAACCCCTGAAGGAAGTGGTACTATTGAACTATTAAACTGATCACTGGCTAGAGGATTTTAGGAATTATGCCAATTTTTAGGATTTTTTTAAAAAAATAGATTTATAGTCTTGTGTATTGTGCTTCTGTCCATTCTTGTGCTAGGCAGTATTACTATTTGTAAATTTATTTATATTTATTGTTATGAAAAGAAATTATGTGAACTGAGCACTGTTCAATTTGTATAATGCTGCAGTAACCTGTTTTACAGCCACTAAATTATTCATCATCAGAACCACAACCATCTTATCAGTTTTTACACTACATTTCTTTAATAAGCACTTTTGATACTGTGAAACTCATGCTTTTTAAAAATTCAGAGACCAAATATTGTCACTGTACCTTTCATAATAGTCTTTGCTAATTAACTAAAAAACCTGATTCTAATGTAGCTTTTTTTTAAAAAAAAATTCAAACCCTGCTTTGTACTTGTTAACATACATTGCAGATAATGTGATGAAACATCTGAAATATGTTGGAATTTAGCATTTAGTCTACTTATACCTCTGTGAGCAAAAAGTGATATTTATATCTTGGGTTTTGTCTGTTCCTGTGCATTCAGAGAATTTCCCGGTGCCGTATCCAGGTGCTCCCAGGCTTTTCTCTCCCACACCCATCCATGGATTAAAGCTGGAGGGTGCAGGACGCTGGAGTGGCCCCACAGGGCACTTTCTTGCTTGAAAATATGAAGATCAGGGGCTTGGAAACATCTGTGCCTGTATCCTCCCAATGCATCCCTCCATGGCAACCTCTTCCAAAGGGCACCATGATGCTCCACGTCATAATTTATTGTCCAAGGACAAATGTGATGAATGATCCTTTGCTGTGACTGGTGTCACCTATGATGTCTTTGCTTTTTTTAAATAAACATTTCTTAGCACTACACCTGGGGCATTCTGGATGTGCTGTGTGCTCTGGTGTCATGCTGGGCTTTCCAAGGCTTCATTCCCTTTACAGACCCTATGGCCAAGTTGAAGGTGGATCCTTGGCTCAAATCCTCCAGGAGAGTAAGAGTTTACAGGTATTTACTGTAAGAATTTATAGGTATTTACTCTAAGAGTTCTTCCTCTGTGGTGTCACCCTGTTCCTGAAACCCTCTGAAATGCCTGGAAAAGCTCTGGAACAGAGTGGGAACGGGGCTGAAAGGAGGGATGCTCAGAGCTGCCCCACCCCAAACAGGTCCTGTGCCACAGAAAAGGGGCTGCCCAGTGCCAGACACACCAGGCCCTGCTCAGGACAATGACAGAAGACACAGAGGTCAGGGAGTTCCCTAGGAGCTGAGCTCACTTTATTGCCTGTCAGCAGTGACACCTTCCAGCCAGGAAGTGACTCACAAGACCCTTCCCATCCCCACCCCAGGACAGGGAGACCTCCTACAGACTCTGTGGGATCCCCCAGCCCAGCCCCAGGAGGTGTCCAACACCTTCACCCCGGGGCAATACCAGCACTGCACTTGAGCCAGGTGCCCCACCTTCCATTGCCATCCCACCTCCTCCTTTTGAGCCCAAGGTAAATCTGTGCTGGGGAAATGACACAGCCAGAGGCACTGGAAAACTTCAAATTTCCCCTCCACGATGAAGATGATCAAAGGCTACCTGAGCAGCAGGTACAGGTCCCAGCAGGTGACAGCTTCCCCTGGCTCTGCTGCTTCCAAGGAGGAATCAGGTCACTGGGGCAGGAGAAGCTGGAGCCATCCTCCCTCCTCTCCATGCTCTTCAGGAGCCAGAAAAGACACAAGATGGGTGAGAGGCACAGCCAGGTCAGCCAAAGCCTGGTGGATCCTTTTACATTCCCACAGGAGTAGCTCTCAGATTAGCTCACTTAGGTATTTCCTGGACCATCTACTCTTTGCCCCACAGCAAGGGGAAGGATGACAGAAATTGCTCCTCACAGTTTATAAAGCATCACTTGGAGGCTGCTTCTCATTTCCTGGTCTTGGTGCCTGGTCAGCTTGAACCCAGCCAGCTGGACACTGGCCCTGACCAGGGGTCTGTGCCTCCAGCTCTGTTCCAGTCTCATGAGACGTGTCTGACCTGGTGCTTGTTTGAAAGACCAAGGGCTGGCAACTAAAACAGGAAAATATTTTGGATTCTTTTAAAAACCAAATTCTGCACCAGGTCCAGATTCCAGGCTTGGCTCGGGACAAGTTCATCTTCTGCCAAGCTGCCCCTCTGGCAGCACCCCCAGTGCCAGAGAGAATTCTGCATGGATGGCAAGACCATCTCCACGGCTTAAAATACTTAAAAGCACTGGTGTCCTTTATTTAGGCACATGAGCAAGAGTCCAAGGCTTCAGTTCAAGGGCTGAGGAACCAGGTGGGCAGGTGAGGTCTGGCTGTGTCCTGGAGCTTCTCCTACCCCATGGTGATTGCCCAGCTCAGGAGGGGTCATCAGTGTCCACCCTGGACAGGAGATGGGCGACCTGGGCCTTCTGTGGCCCAGTGATGTGCTGAGCCATCTGCACGATGCAGTCCATGGTCAGCTCGGGGTTGGCCTGGAGCAAGCTGCAAGGCACAGGGCAGAGAGAGGTTTCCTGAGAGGCTAAAGTGAGAACTGCCTGGTCTCCACCACCTGCTGTTCCCATCCCAGGGACCTCCTTCTCATCCCAGCTCCCACAGGCACTCACCTCCGGATGTGCTTCAGGATGTAGTCCCGCTTCAGGTACTTGATGTTCTCCCTGATGGCTGACTGGGTGCCATCCTCCTCCTGCATGTGCTTCTCCAGCCACTCCACCACCACCTGGTTGTTGTCCCAGAGGTAGCCCTGGAGAAAGCAGCATTGTGAGCAAGGGGGTCCTGCTGCCTGCAGAGCCCGAGCCCCCCCTTCCTCCTGGAGCCTCAAATCCAGGCCATGGGATTTTTCTTCCCTGTCCTGCACCTATTTGCAAACCATTTAAAAAGCAAAAAGGTAAAACATGGTTCCTTTGCATGTCCTGCTTCCTGAGGCAGGCACAGCAACACCTGTGTCATTTGAGAGCACCCCAAATGCTAAAAACTCCACTTTTGCCCTGGGAAGCCCTGTCATGGTAAAAAATGTTTATTTGGGGACCATTTTGCCATCGCTGAGCATGAGTACCCAACTGGAGTCAGCTGATTTGAAGAGCCAGCCCCAGCCCAGGGCTTTTTCACTGCCCATCCTCACACACTGCCATCACACACTGAAACACAACTGAAACCTCTGAATGGTGGGAGATTGAGGTGAGATCCCTCGGGATGCCCTCTCCAGGAAGCCGGGGCTGGGGGTACCTTCTCAGCTCCTTCTGTCTCCATGAACCAGCGCCGCAGCATGGACTGGATGTGGATGTGGCTGAGCTCGCTGTTGGCCTTCAGCACCTCCCCCTTCACCATCTCCTCCAGCAGCAGCCGCCGCAGCCTCCAGTAGAGGAAGGAGCGGGCGCTCTTCCACTCCAGGATGTCCTGCGGAAACCGGAGCACAGCCCGGGTTTGCCGGCGGCTCCTCGCTCCCAGCTCCGACGGGATGGAGGGCAGGGATGTCACAGGGAAGGGATTTCCCCCTCAACCTTTGCCTGTCACCTCGGAGCCCCTCCCCGGTGCCCGGCTCACCGTGATGACCCCTTTCTCCTGCATGCGGCCCGGGGTGTCGTGCAGGTCTGCGAAGCGCACGGCCACCTGGTGGTACACGGGCAGCAGCAGCTCCTCCCGCGCCTTCTGCTGCTTCTCCAGCTGCTTGCGCTGCGCCTCCGACAGCTCGGGGGACCCTGCGGGACACAGCGGGCTGAGCAGCCCCCCGGTGGTGCCACCAGGGCGTCCTCTCTGTGCTCCCACATCAGCCATCACGCCCAGTGCCACAGCTCTTTCCTTGGCACACTGACACCAGAGCCACACATGGCCACAAAGAGGTCACACCACACTCAGTGCCTGCTGCATGACAGGGGAGATGGCATTTGCAAGGACTTTGTGGGACCATGTTGCAGGCTGGAGGGACATGGGGGAAAGGAACTCCCAATCCATCAGGAACCAATTCAATGTGGCCATGGCCATCCTTCATCTCAAAGCATGGGAGAAGACCCCAGCCCCATTTAACCCATTGACAGAGCTCCCAGGAGATACCAGGTGTTCTAAAGTACCACCACATCCTCTCAGCTCCACTAACAGAAAAGACATAAAAGTCTTCCCAGGACACTAAAGGACTCCTGGTGGTTGCCACCAAAGTGCTTGAGCTTCATGTTTAACTTACCACCACCAATGTCCACAACCCCAAACTCCCTTTCCTTACCCAACTGTTCAACAATCCCAGCATAAACTGTATCGATCCTTCTCATGGTCTTCACCAAATCCTTCTTTCTGAACTTAATCTCCACTGTTCCTCCAGGCTCCAAAATGCCTCCCCTGGAATGGAAGTTTGGTAAAGCAAGGACTGGTGTGCAGGGGAGAATAAATCCCAGGCTGCTGACACACCCAGGTATTTTGGATGACACACACAGGTGTTCAGGATGCTGACCTGCTCTCCTTGTCAGCGTAGAGCTCCACGTGCAGGGGGTTGATGGTGGAGTCGATGACCACCCAGGAGCCGCCGCGCAGCTCGGCGTGAGGGGGGATGTACACCAGGACAGGCTGCTTGAAGTCCCGCAGGCTGTCCACGATAAAGGCGCCGAACTTCAGCATCTGGTCGTACATGTCTGAAAGCCAAAGGGACTCAGGGGCTGCGTGTCCCAGTTGTCACTGCCCCAGCCTCCTCCCAGCTGCCCAAAGACACCTTCTCTTACTGGAGAGACAAAGCATCCTGCAAAACCAGCCAGCAGGAAGCCACCAACCCCTGGGATCTCTGCCCTGCGACATCCCATGACCTCCACAGCCCAACGCAACCCCACATCCCAGAGTGGTGCATACCCTGGTAGCCTGGGCCATCCCAGGACCCTGTGTGGTGGCAGGGGTGACAGAAGTTTGTCCCACCACGTTCCCATTGTGTGTGCATCCCAAGCACAGGTACCTTTCATGCCGCTGGAGAAGCCTCTCCAGTTGGCAAAGATCATCAGTGGGAGGTGTTCCCGGTTGAAGTCCCGAATGGCCTGGGCTGTTTTAAAAGCAGAGTCTGGGAACCAGACCTGTCCAGCCTGCTGGATTATCTGGAAAAGACAGTGAGCAGCTGAGACTGTGCCAGTACTTCCTGGCATGCCGCATGAAACAGCTGGAAGAAAACAAACTACCCTGGCACCCTTGATTTCACCTGAATTAAGGAAAATCATGCCCAAGGATCATGCTGAACTATTACTCCTCCCTTCCCTCCAGCTCCTCTCAGATGCCACCTGGCCCCAGCTGTACCCCACTCACCTTTGCCTCTGAGTCCAGGTTGGCAGGGTCAGCAGGTATTGTCACCTCCACGGTGCGGGTCTCAACAGCAATGACGCCCACGGGGAGACCTCCCAGCCTGTGGCAGGGCAGGCTGGGCTCAGCAAGGCCAGTTCTCCTCCACCCCAGCCCCACCAGAGAGCTGCTCCCTCTCCACCATCCCAAAAGCAGTGACACAGCCAGGGCTTGAAAGTGAGAGGCCACACATGCAGGATCCCAGCTCCATCCCCTGCTCCTGGCAGTACCTCGCTCTGCCGACCACCACGGTCTGAGCCCACGGCTTCATGATCTCCATGAAGCTGCCCTGGTCGAAGAAGCCACTCTGCCAGGTCCCTTTGAGAGCTGCAGAGCACAGGAAAACATGGAGTGGTGCAAGGGCAAGCACTGAAGGGTTCCTGAGCACCAACCCACAGCCAAGAGCATCTTCTGCACCTACAGGATGCATTTGGGAGCAGAGCTGCACAGGCCTTGGGCTGTTCTCACTTACTTGGATGGGGTCTCCCTGCCAGCATCCACCTGGGGTCATAGGGGACTTTGGAAGGGACAAAATCAATTTCTCTTTCAATGGGGTCACTTATGGCAGTGACAGGTACTGGGCTCTGGTTATCCTGTAAGGCAGACCCCAAGGGCAGGTCACCAGCCAGGTATGGGTGACATCCCCCACCTCCACCCTGCAGCACCCTCCTACCTTGGGTATGTATGAGAGCCACTGCAGGATGGTGTAGACCCCCTCAAAGTCATCTGGGACAGTGACATGGGAAACGCCATTGTTGTGCATGATCTGCACTCCTCCCAGCTGGTTGTTGGAT